TTTAATCTAAAATCTTTAACAGCCATATAAAAGTTTCATACATCAAAGGAAAAAAAAAGAGAAAGAGATTCTAAATTGGAAAAATAATCTTCATAATCAGGGCAAAGGTGGTGTATTCATAATTCTGAAGATCATTTAAATTCAAACATTGACATGTATTTAAAGTTAGTCTACAAAAGGTTCTATAATTGTCATTAAATAACCTTTTTAGGTAGNTTCAGGATCCGTAATTTTGAATGGCATAACACCTGGTAAAAATTCTGGATGATGCTTAGAGAGACAGTTTTCTGCTAATTGCTCTTGTTCATCATTTAAAAATTGTCCCCTTGTTTCGGGATCCAGGATGCATATGCTAATAAATGAGGTGGCTGAACAGCCTGGTGGAATCTTTTTACAAAATGTTTATGGGGATCCAATTCATCACACGATAGTAAGTTAATTCATAACAGCTTCTGAAATTGAAATGTTCTCTGATTGTAGCTTTTTTTAAACTTCAAAAACAATTGATATCTTTTTTTTCCAAATTGATTGTTTATTGGTAAAGCCCAACATTATTTAATATTTTTGACATGTAATTATTAGATTCATTTTGATGTTCAAGAGCAATCTCTTAATATTTATGATAATTATTGGCAAAAGTTTTTACGCGGTCACAATATGAACTCCTCCTAGTATCATTTGGTAAATGGGGCATCAAGCAGTTTTTTTCACTTGCCCATCCATGTGCTTGATGCACATTTTTAAAATATTTGTTAACATCCACTATGTGTCCAATGATAGTATTAGGAGATAATTATTTTTCAACCAGATTATAAAAAATCCCACCAAGTGGATTTTTTCTAGGTGGGCCCACCCAATAAAACCGGGCGGGTTTTTTCAAAGTGGACGCACTTGACGAACCCTGGTATGATCATGATATACGACGAAAAGTAACGCCTACTTTTCTTCTAACGATTTACTTTGGAAGCGCAATTGTATCGGCAAGGCTGGGGAGGAAATCTGTGACAACGTTGGCATGACTATCTCGTTCCCGTCCTACTATTGAAGACCGAAAAGTGTAGTTAATTGAAATTGCTGTTGCTACTATTCCCTTAAAGGGATAGATTTGCATCAATTAATAATTTTTTCTGGAATTATTATTAAAGATTAAATTTTTTATTAATCTATTGCTAAAAATTTACTTTGTTGCTGTGATCGAGCGTTATATGTTGAAAATGATTATAAAGTTATGCAAATTAAAGATTTTTTGAATTTGCATAAGTTATAATTTATTATTTGCATAATTAATATGCAAATGATAAATTTTATTATGATTTTATTAATCTGTATAACTAATTTATTGTTTAATAAAGACAATATGCAGAGAGATTTTCTTATTATACATTTTAAAATCAAAAAATATATGCGAATACTTTATTGAATGTTTGAAGAATAAATATAGGTAAATTGCTTTAAACATGAAATTTTCATAATAGTACCTACACTCATAAATTAATATTTCTATCGTATATTAAGATAACTTCACTCATTTGATAAGTTCAAAATGAAGATAAAACAAAGGAAAATTATAGACATATGAAAAGGGAGGGGAAAAATAATAATTAAAAAAAATAACAAACAACTGATAAAAAAAGATTAAATTTTATTTAAAAAAACCGGAAAAAATATATAATCTTTTCATCAGCCCACACGATTATATCAGCAAAAAAGAGTGCTTTCTGATATTGTATCAATATAGCCAAAGCAAAATATATTAATATAATAGTGTGAGGAGCACTCCAAAAATTTTTTTACAGAAATTACAGCAAATAAAATAGAACACAATAAGTAAAAATAGCACGTAAAAACAAAGAGTAAAATAAAAGAAAAAGAAAAAACAGTATAAAACATAAACTATAAAGCGAGTAGCGAAATCAGATGTACTTACATGAACGGGAAATTTTTCAAGAATGATTTAAAACAAAACTTATACCCACGGACTAATTATACCAAGGGATTTGCCTGAAATGGATTTGCACATAGGAAAAATTATAATAATTAACAAAGAAAAAAAATTTTAGGAGATAATTTCAGTCACGGATTTGAACAATGGAAAAATTTTATAAATTAATAGAGAAATTTTTAGTAAATAATTTTATCCACGGATTTGCCCGAAATGGAATTGCATATGGAAAAATTATAAAAATTAACAAAGAAAAAAATTTTTAGTAGATAATTTTAACCACGGATTTGCCCATTTCGGGCAAATCCGTGGAGAGTAACTTGCAGGGTTACTTGAATTGTACAGTTTTAACTATGTACCAAATATAGGAATTTTCATTGAAAATTGCTTTTATTAAGTATATATTTATTTAAAATAAGACATTTAAGCATCATTTATTGATTTATTTAACAATTTTAAGTGTTTATGTGCAATAAAACTAATAAATAAAGGCAAGAGATTGGCTGAATAAGTATTCGCCAAACTTATTTCCGAATCGCCAAGTTTCGCATTCACTTTTAAGTATTTCTTTTTGTTAAAAACTTATATTTACCTGTTTTTTATTGTATTCCATTTTATTTCAAGTAGTTACATTCTTAATCTTGGCTATATTAAGTTTGTTTTTTAGTTATTTATGGTAATATATCGCCTAAAGTTCAAACGATTTGTTTACATTTATCATAAGAAATCTGTTTAATATGCTTTCTTTCATGTATTTTTGGATCTATCGATGTTTATTTTCTTTGAAATTCTTGCTGTCAGTAGCTGAAATAATTAGTTTCTGTGTTAGAAAAATTCATAGAAGTATGTTCAAAAATTGAACTTTAAATTTTTTTAATGTGATTTAATGTAAGTATGAAAATAGAAAAAAAGTATTTTAAATAATTTTGCTGGTTTATTTTGTAGAATCTTAACTAGAAATAAATAGAAAAGTTGTTAAAAATAAATTAAGATCTGACGCTATTCCAACAATTTTCAATGCTCCAAATTCTTCAAAGAAGACTAAAAGGAATAGGCTGTCCAAAACCTGGATCAATGTTAGATAAGCTTAAATCTAATCCAAGTATAAATTTACCAACTTCTCTCCATTCTTTCAGTTTTGTAATTTTTTATTATTATTAAAGAACCAAAACTGTGTAAAAACTATTGCTATCTGGTAATGGATAATATATAGATGTCTTTCTTTAAATTGTATTCCTTACTTATGTATCACATATTTAAATGAATGTTTTGAAAACGTGTTTTAAAAAATTATTTAAATAAATTTTTTTTAAATTTATCATGCGTCGTTTCTTTCCCTCCCCATAAAACTCTGGAATCTATTTATTCTACCAATTCTATCTATATAATAATAGAGGCTGAAAATCTTAATTCGTCTTGTCCTTAAATGTCAATTAAAAACACCAATTTTAAATTAATTCCTGATTTTGAAACAAAATTTATTGCTTCTCATGATTAAAGACATTTACATTTATAGTATCGTCGGCCTTCTGAGCCCAAGTCTGCGGGTTCGATCCCCGGCCCAGACACCGGATTTTCGGGATGCAGAAAATCCTCAGCTGCCATGTCGTATGATTATGCGGCATGTAAAATATCCCTGGAGTGCCTTATTGACTCTTGGCATTTCCGACAAAATTAAATTCCTAGTGCACTTTAGCATCCAAATAGAGTCTCGGTGCTGCCATCTAGTGTGGCAGAAACTAGACGTCCAAATTAACATGACCAACGGTATCTCACCCATTGTGGTGGTCCTGAAAGAGTGGATACCACCTCTGGAGAACGCACTAGGTCTGCTTATCGGCAAGACCGATTGTGCAGCTCATTGGAAATAAATAAAAAAAAACATTTAGAGTATTGCATGAGAAATTTAATTATTTTGATTATAAAAACATATTTAAGAATATTTCAGGTCAAAACATGTTTTTTTTCAATTTAATTTTGTAAAAAAAAAATCTGAAAAGAAATTTAAAAAACCCAGATCAAACTGAAATATAAAATTTAAAACCAAATTTACTTTGAAATCATTCATAAAAAACAATTGATGTAATTGGCATATAGCACATGCGCAATTTTTAATTTAAAACTTTAAATCATTAATAAAATTTGCAGTGAATTTGCGCAAGCATTAAAAAAAAGTTTCCGAAAAACAATGTTAATCGATGTACGCTTTTCTTTACTGAGTATCCTATAGTTGAGGTTAACGTCGTTTGTAGCGATAAGTTGCCAAATCTTCTAATTCAGAGGCTCTAATCTGACATAGCAAATAAGAAATATTTAAATACGTGCAATAAACTATTTTTTGTTCAAACAGAGCTATAAGCTAGCAATTATCTTCAGATGTTATCTTTAAAAGATGTGACAATTGAATCGCTAAATTTAAAACAATAGCTAACGCCTAACCAATCAGAAAATTCCATTTCGTTTTTCGCTCATCCTGCAAGAACGATTTGTCGCAGAATGTTTTAATGTTGACAGTGACCTTCCTCGTGCTTGAAACTATCTCTATGGCAAATTTCATTGCTTTCTGTCGGATGGTTTAGGAGTCTATAAAAGACATACACACAGACAGACATTCATATATACAGTCAGACCTCAATATAAGGTCACCCTAGGGACACCGCAAAAGCGGGGTGACCTTTTAACCGATTCATTAGCACTTTGTAACTAAGCATGTAAATAGTACACATTATGATTTTTAAAAATGGTATTACAAGCAAAAAATAAATATTAAAGTCAATAAATTAAATATATTAATATTTAAGTCACCAAATTTAACTAACTTAGAAAATAATTAAGGAAAGTTAGATTTTTTTAAAAAAAATGTAATTTAAAATAAAGCTGTTTACGAATTTCCTCAAAGTGTACATTACATCATACCTTTTTAAAAATAATCATTTATGCAGGTCTGTCTCGTTTTTGATTTCATTTTTTGAACAATGCTTTCCAGATTTTGTAACTTTTCAAAATGTTCCTCAGCTCCCTCATGGTTTGTAAAAAAATTTCGTATGACATTTATTGCTTTGAAGGCTTCCACTTGGGCTACAACTACAGTCTCAGGATCACTGTCATTGTCCTCACTGTCCACAATTTGTGAAATTTGTGAAACAATTTCAGAAATTGTAGCTTCAGAAGTGGTGGCAATTTCCTCATCATTCAAACCATATTCAGCCTCTCCTTCAATGGTATGGCCACGATTTTTCAGATCTTCCATCAAAACAGATAGAGGAATATCGTTTTCTTCTTTGGTTTCGTCATCCACGATATTCAGAGAACTCACAAAACCAGCATGACGAAAACAATTTGCTATGCATGTGATGGACACCATGCTCCAACTTTTGTACAGATAGAAAATGGCATCCAAGACAGTAACGTGAAACTCCTCTTGTTTTTGGTCGATGGCTGCGATTAAGTCCTTCAGGAGGAGCTTACGATAGTTCACTTTTAGGCTTTGAATAACTCCTTGATCCAATGGTTGGAGAACGCTGGTCACATTGGGAGGCAAGAAAACAAGCTCAATCGAGGCTAACTGTGGGATGTTGGTACTATGAGCTGTGCAATTGTCTGCTATGAAAACAACTTTTCGCTTCATTTTAACAAACTGCCTGTCTAAACGCCGTATTGTTTTCTCCCAAATAGTGACGGTCATCCACGCCTTTTTTTAGCGTCGTAATCCATAGGTATAGATTTCACGTTTTTAAAGCAATGTGACTTTTGGGAATTAACCAATAACAAGGGGTCTCAATTTTTCGGAGCCATCCATATTGGCCCCTAAAAATACTGTAAGTCTTTCTTTACTTTTTTTTGCCACTTACATATTCTTCTTTTTTTAACGCTAGAGTTTTTCAGGTAAGACTCGTAAAAAAAGACCACATTCGTCGACGTTAAATACATCCCATGGCTTACACCGTTTCAAAATATCATCTTCTAACACAGATTTCTTCCAGTCATTCAAAACAGTTCTGTTAACACATCCGGCTTCACCGCATACTGTCTTGAAACTTAAATCATGTCTTACTTTAAATCTCTGTATCCATCCATTGCTCACCATAAAATTAGGTTCTCCCGATTCCGCGGCTATTTGCAGAGCTCTTTCTTTCAGTACTGAACACGATATCGGCACATTTTGTGCTCTAGCCATTTTTATCCATTGGAGACTTTCTTCTTCAATTTTCTCAAAAGGGGAAAAACGCACCCTTTCTCCTTTCCCATTTCCAATGCGATGAGAAGACAGAATATTGTTTCGGGTGGTGCATGGTATACCACGTTCTTCTGCAAAACGTGCTTTTGATAAATTTGAATTTTCAAAATCCTCAGCGATTTTTTCTTTCTCGGATAGAGTCATCGTCTTTCTCTTTGCCGACATGATGACACGATGAGAGAGGTTCGAATGAAATTCTTTCCTCTGGTGCGGTCAGCAAATGGTCACGTGACACGATGGGAAAACTTATCCTTTGTTCTCATCTGAACGGCGAAAGCCCCCTCTCCCCTCCCTGGAAGTATGGATAGGGACGAACAATTACTGGCAGTGCAGGCGGGGGAAAACTCTCATGATGCTTTTAAGAAAAACATTAATATAAAAACGAATTATTTTGTCTATTTTTCTTTTTTTTTTCCAGCTTGAAATGATATTTTTAATTCCTTCTTCTTTGTTCATTGTAAATATTGTAGTAAATATTTGATTCTAAGCATCCTAAAATTAGTTTTTGACATGAACTGAAAATAAAATTTTTACTACGAAGTTACAGAAAGCAAAACAGAAAGAATAAATTAAAAATCCTTTCAAAGGAAAAAAAATTGGACGAAATAATTCAACTTTAATGTTTTTCTTTAAAAGCATCCAAAATTAAATAGAAAAAGTATACTGAATTTCTAAGTTTCTGATCGCTTCTGTTAGTGTTGGCATGATTTAAATCCCTTGAATTTAGTCATTATTAAAACCGTAATTCAAATCATTTGAATTTTTTTAGAGAAATCACTAAGTTAAATTAGCTGTAATTTTTTTTAAAAGGAAACATTAACTTAAACGAACATAGTCGTTATAACATTAATTATGAATTAATTTAGAAAAAAATGTTAAGATAAGTTTTAAATATTTTCATGCAGTATAATTAATAAATACATTCTTTAAGGTAGGAATTTTTAAAAGTCTAATTTAATTGATAATGTATATTTATTAAGGAAGTGATTTTTTACTACGAAATTAAAAATGCATTAATGCAAATCAAAAGAGATTTTTTTTAAAAATTAAATCAAAAATTTCTTGTTGTTTTACGAAAATTTATGTCAAAAAAAAAAAAAAAAGCAGCATATTCGTTCCAATTACATGTAAAATTCCAGATCTTGCTGCTGTCCTGTTGTTTTTCGAAATTTCATGTCAAATGAAAAAAAAAATTCTTGATTCATTTTGCCTTTTTCTAGCAATCTTTCCAGCAAGAAAAGCTAAACCTTTTAAAAATAATCAAATAAAATTTGCCTGTAGAATTTCTCATAGGTTGCATACATTATATCATTATACATTCATATTATTATATATTTCATTTTGTAATCAAGTAGAGTTGCATTTAAGTAAGTAATTTAATAAATTAACTCTCTGAGATTTATGTGTAAGAACAATCTTAGATTTTCATGCTAAACTGTACCACTTTTTTTTCCATTGACACAGGACTATCCATTTAATAACGTATGGTAACTGAGAGAAATGTCTGACGACAAAAACAGTGACTTGGAGGTTACATGTATGAGCAAATGAACACTTCAATATTTTACCTTCCATAAGTACAGATTTTCTTACAGTTTGAGATATCAAAATCTCTTAATTGCAGATAAAGTTCTCGTAATTTTTTTTTTATTTTAGCTTTTTGTGCAGGGAAATATTCATTATTACTGACTCAAAAAGGAAGAGAGATATAAATTCTAACATGCATTTGTATGCAACTTTCGCAAATTTTTTCGTGAAAAAAGGATAACGTCCTATTGATTTTTCTTTTCCGTTTGTTTGTCGATACTTTTTAATCGATACTGTCGATACTTTTTAATCGATACTGTCGATACTTATTTTTTTTCAAACGTTTAAACTTATCCGCATTCCGGTACTAGTGCTTACTGTTATAAAGTGATCGTAATTATCATTATTCTTCAAAGTTTAACTGTTTAATTCGCGACCAATTTCGCGACCAATTGAATTGGAAGACAAGTGAAGAAATATTTATTACTTTGAGTAAAAAGCTTTCTTACTTTCAACTTTAGAATGTAAAAAAACGTTAGGAGAAAGTTTAACTCCATGGGAATGGCTGCTATTGGCACGGAGATATTTCCCCTCGTCGGAAAACTTTTTACTCAACCCGATATTTTATAACATTTAATGCTTCCACTGATAAACGAGTTCAACTGTGATAATTTTAATTTCTGTCTCTTAAAGCAATTTACTTTTAAGGAAGAATAATTGCAAACGTTGATTCGAACAATTTAAGTTAATGTAAAAACAAAAAAAGAAACAAAATCAACAGAAAAGTTGTGATCGCCTTATTACGATTACTGATTACCCATTGGTCAAATGCTTTTTCTGCACTCCTTTAAACATTTCAAATCATGGGTTGCAAAAACTGTCTCAATTGATGTTTGTCGTCGGATTGATTTTCATATATCCTGCCTATGTAGTACGTGTTTCACAAAATACTTCTTCAGCATTCATATGTATATCACCGTCAAGCCAGTAATTATACGTTGATAATAAAAAGAATATGATAAAAGACCTTTTGAATTGCCTCTCTGGTGTATTCATAACGTTGTACGAAATTGCATTTTATATTTTAAATTACAATATTATTACTATCTTAAAATTATAAAATCTAAAACAGCCCTGAATATTGATTTAAGAAACACAAGATGAAAAAAATATATAAATTGCCAATTTAACCCAGGTTACCCATTGGCAAAATAGTTGTTGTCTAAATTGTTTTGGAAAAGCATATTTTTTTATTTTCATTTTGGATCTTTAACTGTTGATCCTGAACTGCTCGGTACACAATTTCGCAGACATGTTTGAATGCAGCTCAGACACCTTCTGTGTAAATTCTTTTGATGACTGAATAGACATTGGACAGCCAATCGAAATCAATTGTAACATTGGTACAATGGTGCTTGAAGGAGTTCTCGTATTTGTATGAAAGGGGTTCAGAGAGTCGCCATTCGCTCTTCGGTAGGGTTCTATTCTCTCAACCACTTTGGTACTTTTATGATGGACGGGCTTCATGCTTGCGTTTGCGAACGAAATTCTGTCGTTTTTCCGTTTGTGTGTAACGCTTGAGGTATTCCCGTCTACGATGGCTTTGGCTTTTTCAGCCTCGGAAAGTTTAGACCTTGACATCGTTTTTTTTTTTGCTTCAACTCTAACTTACATGACAGTGTCTATCAGTTTGGGATCCTCTTTATTTGTGATATTCACCTGAATTAGTATTGAAAACGATCCAGTTTGAACTGTAGGTTAGAATTTCTGATTCTTAATTAAAACAATGAAAACAAAAATATCGTTCAAATGATTAAATTCTCTTTTATTCTTAACTCAAGAATAAAAGTACTTAAGGGATCTCTCTGGTCCCATATCTCAAAATTAAACTCATAAACTTAATGCATAACAAAATTGAAAGTGAAAAAAAGAATTCTAAAATACTTATCAAACGTCGCCTTAGCAACGCATGAGCACTATTTACTAGTGAATATTGTAATTAAAAAGTGAGGACGCCATGAAATCCAAACCTAGACCCATTTTGCCAATCTTTAATAATTATTTCTGTCGCAGTGACCTAAGACAATTTTAACTTGTTAGTCATTGTTTTTCTCAATTTAACTTTGTTTCTTTTAATTTAATTAATAACATTGTCCTTACTTAATGTTCCTTCTCTGATTTCAGGAATCACATTTTTTGATAATTTTCCATTGATTTTCAGGATGTCATTTAAGGTACTTTTGAGCACAGATCTCTTTTTTTTTTTAATTATCCACGAGAATAAATCTTTTTTTTTCTCGCGATGGTAATTTTTTGGCTGCTTTCTTTTTGCTTCCTCACCACTCCTTTTCAGTCCCCTTGTTGTCAAGCTATCCGTGGAAAATTTTCATGGTTTTCCTCTTCCTGTGACACAAAGGCGGGATGGTTCTATCAACACGTTCAGTTCTCCACGAAGGCAAATTTCTCCCAATACTTGATCCAAGAGTTTCTTTGTCTTCTGGATTACGTTCAAAATTGCAAAGCTACGGAGTTGAGCATTAGTAGTTGTAAACCCAAAAAATTAGGTCGGCAATTCAATGACGGTTTAAAATAAAATACAAAAAATATGCCTCCCTTTAAGAAAGTACCAATCAGGATTTTTTTTTATCTCATTTGAATGCGTCTCCCTGAGGCCAATTGCACACTTCTTTGCTACCTTTTGAGTTTCAACTCAATAGCAAGTATATAGTATTATTTTTTATGGCAATATGTGTGACGATAAGAAAATACAATGAAAAGAGAATATACTTAAAACGTTTACACAAATCCATTTGATTTGAAAGAGCACAAATAATTATCTTTGGACTGTCGAAAAAGCGCTACGCGATGCATAGTTGCGAGACATGTTTAGTTATACTGACGAACTTATTACAGGAAGTATT